GTGTATCTGTGTGTGTTAGATATTCATTGCTAATAAAACTTTTATTGGATTGGCAGGTGGTATTTCTGACGGTAGCAATGGCTGTGTTGCTATTGATCACTATAATATGTTTCGGGTATACTTCAGCAATTTTTATTACGTTGTAATGCTTGGGTAAATGAAAAGATTAATGAGTTAAAACTCTTTTTCATTGTATTGTCTACTAAAATTTATTGCCACTTCGTACTAAACATGGACAAAGATGTTCTAATTTTCCCTTCATTTTGCTTATGTTAAATAAAAAGTTTGCCGCTTGTTAATTTCCATATCAATATTTTTCATATTCCTTTTGCTCATAAGACAACAGAGGATAACAATTTTTTGTACTCTAGAACATTTCCATGCAAATTGTATCCATCATATTTAATAATTCGCAGGAAGATGTGGCTTTGATGAAGAAATTGGGTTTGAATTCATACAGATTTTCAATTGCATGGCCTAGAATCTTGCCAGGCACGTTACTTCAAACTTTAAAAGGATTGAATTTGTGCATCATCTTGAGATGTACTATTAAATGCGAGTTAAAGTTATATTTTAATTTGCGTTCTATCTTGGTGTATTAGGAGGAAGTCTATGTACTGGAGTTAGCAAAGAAGGAATTCAATTCTATAATGATCTCATTGACGCACTATTGGCAGCAGGTATGCGTCAATTACATAATTCTTGTATTTGTTATTTCTTTAACAGCTTTTATTTGCATAATTCGCAATTGGAATTAAGTTCAATATTTGATGTATATGTTTTTCTGCAATAATTTTTCATCTCACATATTAATATAATGAAAATATTATTACTTTATCTCACATTCTTTCAATTTCTTTTGTGTAGGCATTGAGCCATATGCAACTATCTTTCACTGGGATGTTCCCCAATGTTTGGAAGAAGAGTATGGTGGTTTCCTAAGCGACAAAATTGTGTAAGTAATTCACATGGCACATTTCCAATATCCGTGAAGAGAAAAGAATAATTTTCATTTAAAGAAAAAATGGATTATAGTTTTATTAAAACAAAGGACCACCTTTTCCAAAGATTAAAGTACCAGCTTAACAATTTTTACCATATTTTGCCATTTTGTGTATCTATATTATAGGAAGAATTTTTGTGAATTTGCTGAGATTTGCTTCTGGGAGTTCGGAGATCGAGTGAAACATTGGATCACACTGAATGAACCATGGTCGTTTAGTGTTTCTGGATATGCGATTGGCACTTTCCCCCCTAATCGTGGTAAAGCTCCAACTACTACAGGAGAGGCTAAAAGACATTCTTGTCTTCATAGATGTGCATTTAGATCTCAAATTGCTCGCAAGTATGGAGATCCCGGCCGAGAACCATA